TATGATACTGATAGTATGGAATAATACGCCCATTGAATCATTGGGCTTACTGTAGGTGACCAAACGCACTTGATTCAAACTGAAATTCAGGGCAATTAGGTGGAAATGTTTTACTGAGTAACGCGCGTGTACGCCTTAGTAAGTTTACACATTCTTGGCGGCTGGATCGCGATTACGTCTCTTACTAGTCATCCTTAAAAATCCCGCTCACTGCCACTTTTTACTTTGCACAGCCATGGTTTTGAGGTATGAGGTACAGAATCGTCTTTTCTCATTCCCACGTTACAGCAAATTACGTCTTTCTAGAGCGCTGTACTTGAAGAAAGGGTAAATGGCACTTTAAAAAAGCTACTTGAATACCTAAAATGTTTAGAGACCACACGATTCTGCACTTGCGTTTAGGATTCCCAAATCGCGCACTGCGCACTTGCAAATTACGGAGAGGCATATTTACACTACCATATTAATAATCTATTATCTGAATCGATAACTTTTGCAATATATATGGAATGCGTCACACCCTCCCGAAGCAGCCTTAACAAAAGTACAATAGGAAACCTTCCCACGCAAATCATTATCTCGAACTAAGTACATATTTGGCCTGCTAATTAAGGTTATATTAGCTCACCTGTATGGTCTCGCCACTGCTGCATGGTGAAGGCGAGAGAACAGAGTGGGGTGGATGTTGCTACACCAGCTGTTTGAATTTGAGTCAATCTGAAACATACTCGAGCTATCACCGATCCCTAAAGATGGAATCTGAAAGGTTTTAAAATAGACTGCTTCGTTTTCTAAAGAATTACAGGTCTCATGGTAAGTCTTGAAAATCTGTCATCCTTCTAAGTGAAGTTCTCTTCGTGTCGCTCGGGTAGCCTCCATGTGTGACACGTAAAAACGCCTGATTTGTCGAGGCGTCCACACATGTATCCCCTTCTTTTGATTTAAAAACATTATTTGAAGAACATAGTTTAGCCTGAAGGTTTGATTCTCCCTCACTGCCTATATCGTGTGTAGCAAAATGCAAGGTTCTCTAACGATCCACAGTCTGGGCCCAGCTGCGACTTACTTGTTAATCGATTGATAGCAAAAAAAACTTGTGCGGACTATGTTCCGTGCTTCTCTCTCTCGCGCTTTCAATTTCTATACCACCAGCCCTCTTTCGGTGGCGAGACAAAGCCCAGACGACCGGCAGCGGACGAAGACGCAATTTCAGACAAGGTGTGCTGCATACCAGCTGATGCCTGGCGCACAAAGAGGGTTGACTGCGATGTCTCGGTTGTAACATCAGTTGCCAATCTTCCAAATCGTGAATTTTAGCACAGTGTGATAATTTCGGTTCATCCGATTTATT